TGATCCGCTGATCCGCGAATTATGGGACACCCTGTATATATATATATATATATATGTATATGTATATATATATATGTATATGTATATATATATATATATGTATATATACACAATAATCAAAGCAGCAGATAAGGGATTTATAAATTAACTTTTAATTTTTAAGCGTAATTTATTAAATTCCCAGTGATACCAGAGTATTTATCTACAATACTATAAAATTTTTTTTCTACTGCCTTGTTAGAATAATGAAGTATCATCCTAGTTAATTACTACTTATGACTCATCCCGTGAATGTTCCTCATCACCAAGATTTTTTTATTCTTGTTACAGGTTTAGATAATTCCATACTTCCCTATGTCCATAGTTTTATGAATCATAGTGTTAATGGACAACAATTACTGAGTTTACAACCAGAAGATTTGGAACATTTGGGTGTACTAAAACTCGGGCATCAAGAAATTATACTTGAGGCTGTAGAGTATCTGAGAAATTTTCATTATGAACTGGACAGAGAAAATCTGCAATTACTGGCGCTGCGACTTTCATGCCAGGCACACAGCTTACATAATGAATTATCTCGTCAAACTGATTCGAAGCCTGTTACAACTCAAACATTATCAGATGTAGCATCGGTTGTGATGGCAGTTAAACCTCTGGTGAGATGGCTAGATTGTCCTCCGTTTTGTGGACAATTGGAATATAATGACAAGAAGGCTGAATTGATGAAATTATCTTTGGAGATGGCTATATGTGCACAAAGAGATAGATTTGCTGAGAAGCCGATCGAAGAGATCAGAACAACTTGTGATCAACTGGCAAAGTTAGCAGATTATATAATTCAAGATACCGATGATCCTCTGATTCTACAGCCTGCCATCTTAGATCTAGCTACATTAAAAAAGAAATCTGGTGATGATTTGGTAAGTCTTCAATAATTACATAATGCAATTACTAGCTGGTAGCTAAATCTCAATCATTACATTCTCAACTTTTCACACTTTATTCAAATTTAATATTATAAATATCTGTATCCAGATTTTGTGTTTATTTAAAATATTTTGTTACACTGATTACAATAATTCTCTTAATAATGAGATTACTTATTGAATAGCTATACTTACTCTAAAATGATTTGGCCATTACATCCTGCATTGATAAAGCTCTATCAAACAAGCCATAATATTGTGACTGTGACTTCCTGTCTAGATAATTTGCTTTGTAGCAAATAAGCACATAATCAAGATACCCCTATTGAATTAATACAATTTTCACACAAATATATATTACATATTTACGATATTGTTTATTTAATTATGAAAATTAAACTTTTTATTCTTTTTTTCTCTATTATTCTTAGGGTTTTTATATTTTACCATCTTTTCATGGAGTACATCAGATAGCCGAAATCAAATTTGGATCTGCCGCACACCAGTGTGGTAAAATGGAAGAAGGTGATGAGATAGTTCAGGTAGGCAAAATCCAATTTTATAATTAAATTTTGGTAAATTGTTTAATTGTAAAATATATACATATGTGTAAATTTGTTAGGTAAATTATCAAACGGTAGTTGGTTGGGAGAAAAAGAATTTGCTTGAATTATTTCGTGAAAGCCCAGCAGAAATTCTCTTGACTCTAAAACGTAGGCCGAGGCATACTAAAGTTTATGGGCAAATTTATATAAAACCATATAGACTTCCAAGTAACAAAAAAACCTCTTACACAACACGATGGCAACATAATCTTCCATCCCCTAGACCAGAATTATTAACAATACCTGACTTTACAATGCCATTACCTAGGTAAGCTGTCTTTCTACATGTATCTTAATTGTGACTTTTGCTGCTAATATTCTTTTCTTTATCTAATAACATTGACCTGCATGCACACACATGATTTACATCATAAATCATATGTATATGTGTGATATATATATATATATACTCACACATGTAGTATGTAATCTAACAAATATATCTTACTGCTTTCTCTATATTTTAAATTTAAACAAAAACATTTATTTTTATTTTACTAACTAAAATATTCCATTACATAGACATATGCCAAAGAATCCCAGTCCAGAACCGGCAAGTATTTTAGATACAGTTAATATGTTGGATACAATGGCCACAGATAGTAGCGACTCGGATAGCGAGGTAGAACCGCCTCTTTCTACCCGCCTCTACTCCGCAAAACCGAGAAATTTAGTCCAAAGGCGAGCTACGATAACGGGTGCCAGTCCTACGTCGAAACACGGTATCGATATCGAACAATTTTGGAAGGAGCTAAAGCAAGAGCACAGTACGACCTTCCAGTTGCGCGACAAAGCGGCATCCTGCGCCCATGGTTTGGATAATGTATTACCGGTGGTAAATATACGACCGCAAACGTGTTTAGGATTAGAATCGGCAAAAAAGAGGAAAAAGACTGATGAACAAACAAGCGATAAAAAGGTGCAGTTTGAAGAAAAGTTGACCGACGTTGAAAGTACTCATCTGGATGATGCGAAGAGAACGATTCAAAATGCAAGGGAAAG